ATAAATACAAATAACAAAATAAAAACCCTAAACTAAATTGATTTGTTTAATAATTGATTTTGCTTTAAGAGGATATCATACATCCGTTTTATTTTTAAAGGAAGTTTAAATGATTATTTCAAGAAAAATTAAAAATTATTTTTGTGCACTTATGAAATAGTGTACAACTGTTTGATGTAACCTCATTAAAAAGTTATGCATGAGAAATAATTTGCATGAACTGATAGATTTTAATAAATATATGTACTCGGAATTTTGCTTAATAATAAATAGAAGAAACATCATTGATATCAAACAAAATACTTACAATAAGTAAATTAACTATTTAATCTGTACATGGTATTAAAAAAAATTAATAGAAATAAATACCTCTACATCACATAAAAATTACCTTCCATTAATGGTTGGGTAAGTAGTTAATCTTTGTAAAACATGAAAATTGGTTTACACACATTTAAATTTAAAACATGAAGTATAGAAATATATCAATTAAGAAAACTTGATTATTAATATAGCCTAATGTTATTATAGCATATTACAATAATAGAATACAAAATATACATACACACACACACATATATATATTAATCAAACTCTATATCCATAAATCACAAATGACAAAGTTATTTCAATGGTTTTTAATCATAAGTTAGTTATTAACTTATTTGTGTGCGCATTTACTTAAATTATGAATTAACCATAACATAAAATAAACACAAGTATACCATTATTAAAATATGTATTCTATTTCAGACTATTTCATTAATTAAAAGTAATATCTTTAACATTAGCTCTAAAAACTACAATAATTTAAAATGTAAAGAAATGTGGTAACATTATTAGTAGATATATATTTTTCATAAATAATTAACATATTGAACATCAAAATTATGTTTCATATTTTCTGTACAACAAACTTATATGGCGTAAACATAATACAGATTTTTCATATACCATATAGTATTATTTAATTCCAATGTCTTTTAAAATCATAGCAACAAGCTATAAATTATCATTTATTGTAGTATTATTTCACAAAACTTGAGTGAAAATAATTTTATTGATATCATAATTAATTTTTAACTGTGACAATATTTAAAATTCAATGTAAATGTAGTTGGTCAATAAGCATTATATGAAGTCCTAAATACATCACAAAATGGCGAGACTTTAAATAGACCAATTTTAATTCTGTAAAAATATAAAAATCAAGAGATGTTTAATTTTAATTTTATGTTTCAACTATTAATATAATTTTTTTTAAACATATTTAATTTTAATTTATCCAACTAAAATCCTTCAGCTTTGTTACACCTCATATGATTTTAAGACAAAGTTAAGATGAATGTGTCAAAAACTTGCTTTACTGGAATGACACAACTTGATTCCATCACTACATTTAAGAAATAAAGCATTTCAGAAGCTAACAAAGTGCCCTTGACTATATAAACAAATAAGTCATCAAAAATGTGATATTCGGGATTATTGTGTCATATTTTCCAAACATGTAAAGAACAATATCAATTGGAAAATGTATATTATCATTATACTATTAAAAATAATAATTAGCAATTACTCCGAAGTCAGAAGAATGTTTCATTTGCAAGGTCATCTAGCTGATATGCCTGCTTATTTATAATCTTGTGCTCACCCCCCTGAAATTATCACAATAGACTAATCACATTGAACGCCAAATTGTTGTTTTATACATTTATTAGATGGGTACAATACACGTGGTGAAAAACTACAGCCCTCACAAGAGAAAGAACTCGTTTAGTGTATGCAAYAGACGTTGAACGTCTTGTGACACAATACCCCTCACACTTGAATATTCTCAGTGAAATTGTATTAYAAACGAKCAGAATGGACAGTGGCRCGTTATAGCGAAGTGTGGTATTATCTGGTAAGGCTGCGCGAACACAGACAAGTATTGATCAAAGGACACATTCTTTCTCTAATGAACCAAAAAATAGTCTCCTGTGGAATAAATCGACTTGAGGCATCTCTAATTGAAAATTGATCTAAATAGATATTTCTTAAATACAACATTGAACGATCCAAGAACAGGTAATAATGGTTTAGAGCTAGAAATTGGTCAAGGCTATTCGGAAAAAGAGTTTGTATCTATAAATATTCAACCATTTTATGAGTATAATTATAATAAATTCATTATATTCTGTATTACATGATAGATCCTAAGTATAAAAAATTACTAAGTTTAATCTATATTATTTATTTGGTTAATATTCAATTGATCTTTAAGGTATATTTTTAACTAGCTATACTATATTTTCTAATATTTGATAAGACTCCATGATAATTGGTACAACAATTAATGCTTTTAGAGCTAACACTTTTATGCAGAGTTGCATACATCTAAACATTATACTATATCCTTAATTAAGAACATATGTCTTAAAATTAAACAAATACAGAAAATTATTTCCCATGTATTAAAAGAGAGTAAAACTAATTTTAATCACAGCTATTTGAAGAATAAATAAATTACTATGGTTAATTTATATAAATAAAATTGTATACCAAAGATTGAACAAGAGCCTGTTAAAGATATGAAACTAATTTGTCTATATTAATATTACTTTAAACATAATGGAACATCGGTTTTACTCGATACATTATTAATCAAATAGATTACAAAACTAAGTTTTTAAAAGGTACCAAGTAATAATCAGTTTTGAATGAATATATACAAAAAAGAAATGATGCTAAGGGTTCTCACATCACAGGAGCTTAAATTATGTTCATGTTAGAATTGTTTTCACTATTTGGGCTATAATCAAATTATAATTGTTATGATGAATTTAAAACAAATTTTAAGCAATATATTAAGTCTCCATCCACCTGATAGTTAAATGTAAGTAAAATGTAAGCCTAGTGTACCATAATCACAGATTAAATTTAAGTTTCCAAACTCACAACACTAGAAAATATGAAACACAATCTTGATATTGCAAATGTTAAMCMAAGTACTGATTTTAAAACCACATATCTTTTAGTTTAAGTATATTAAATTTTAATATACTGCTTTATTTACCTTACAAGTTATTGCAATGTAAATACAATTTTATGGTTATACATAAAATAAAGATACATAAAAAAATATGCACCTAAAATAAATTAAGATTAATTATGTTTGAAAATAGTATGACACATTTTCCCTGTATTGTCAAATATTTACATAAAACAAAGATTAAAATGTTTTTCTTTACATTGAATTATTTATTGGGCAGGTCAGTCACGAGAAGTAAAATAACAATTATTTCAATTAAACAAATACATGCATATTATACAGTGTTTAATTTTAATTYATTGGGAATGTTAATATAGAAATAATAGAAAGAACTGATCTATCCAYATGAAGAATTTACTRAGATTGAGTAATGCATTTTGAGCTCTAGGTGGATTAAGATAGAGTAATTTTTTGTTTTTTTTTTCCCCCAATGCACCTAATATTATAATACAAATTAATTTGGGATAAAAGCATTAAATGAGTTTTCTCAGATAAACTGAAAAAAGTATTATTGATGTAGAATATTATTCATGTTATACAAAAAGCTATTTGACCTTTTTCACAATATATCTTACTAATAGTTCTGTTGAATTTTAAATTTAATTTAAATATACATATGATCTGCTATCAAAACAATAATTTGCTAAGAATACCTTCTGGGCCGTCTGTTTTGTAGCCATATGTACTGTAACATTTATGGAATAATTCTCTGACAGCAGATAATCTGTTTTCTCGTCTACAACATTTAAATCRAATAAATATGAAATTTCAAATAGTTTATAGTTTAAAACAATACTTACGATGAAATAGGTCGAAATCTATTYTCAGACATATCATTACCATTCAAGCTACCAGTTTGAGTTACCATTGACCACCTGATAACATAACAAATATAAGTAAAAAACAATATTTTAAATTTATTATTATGCATACTCACTCATCAGTCTCACTTGAATTTGAATAGGTTCTTATATGTTTATGTGAAGTAGGCATATCAACCGGCATAGTTCTATCTAAATTGGATGGGATTTCACAATCATCAAAATCAAAATCTAATTCTGGAGACCTAACTGAACGATGCCGCCTGCGAGGTGATGAGCATTTATACCGTTTCGTTTCTACTTCATCAGACATAATAAAATCATCATCATCAATGTCCTCGATGTCTTCCATTTCATATATTGTTTCTTTTATAAAAAACTTCTCTGCCGGTTTTTTTATTGATTTTAGTTTATTTGTTGCTGATTGTTCAAAATCAAATTGCGAATTATTATCATCCAATGTATCATAGGACTTACCATTTGTTAAATCTTCATTACTATAAAATAAATATAAAATTATTATGGTGAAAAAAAAATTCAAATATGAGTACATACCTTCCATTACTATTATTGCGTGAACGAATATCTAATTGATCCAAATCAGTTAAATCAAATTCACTCATGTGTGAGGAATATTTTGGACTACTTGGTGCCGTAACTGCAGAACTAATATTATACAGAATAAAAAACATTAGTTTTTCACTAATACTAATTAATCAMTATAAATTGTTAAGCTTACGGCTTAGAAGGTGTCTTGAAATCATCACTAAATATGTACTTAAGGAAATGAAAACAAAAATGCATTATATCTTCTCCTTTTTCAAGACGATTTTCAAGGTTATGTCCGAATAAATACCAGTCATAACCAAGTGTTAAATAAAGAATCTGGCTAGGAGATAATGATTTATGGATAACACCATCAGCCCATAACGACATTCTTAATAGTGAAATAAACATAGGTGTACGATCCCAGCCACTGATGCAATGGATTAATATTCCTTTTGATGAACACCAAACATATTTTAACATCAAACTTAAGTAGTTTTCAGTCAGTTGCCGTAAATCCCACTCCTATAACATCAAATTYGATCATATTTCATATAATATTCTTTGGTACAATCATACTACATTATACAAACATTTTAATAATTTAAATGTCATCAACAATTTAGAAAACCATAACATAAATATTCTCCACAGATTTTATTAGAGTCATACACAAAATTAATTCTTTTTACAATTTGTTCAATKTATTTTGAACTTCACATCTATATATTAAAAACAATTTGGTTTCTACGGTAATGTAGTTATATTAGTCATCGGTACCTCACACAACCATACAGGGATCCATACTGCATGCTGATACACCAGCACATGTATATATGTCTTGCAGCTATTGAACTGGTCTCATGGTAACATTCTCAGCGTTACACACATATTTCAGGAATGACCTCCAGCCATAAGGCATATATACATGTCAAAAGTTCATTTGTAAGGTAATCAAAATATGATAGTAATTAAAATTATGTATTTATTCATTTATTTTTTAATTAATCATAATTAAAAATTATGGATAATATTCTAATTTACATATCATTATTGTAAAGGTACCCATGTCCAAATACTTTTTTCTAAAAAAAAAATAATTCAATAACACAAGAATATCTGCTCTATTTAAAAAGCAAAAAATATAATTTTAACAACACTATGATAAGTAATATAATATTGAAAAACTTATAAACACCTATAAATCAAAGAGTTTTATTACCTAATATAAATTTACCAAACTATATCACAAATGACATACACAGATTTATCTGATCTAATTATGGTCTCTAATTAAATTCTTTATTTTATTCAATTAGAAAGATTTTTATTTTTTAGTGAAAATTTAATATTTTAGTATACTTACTTAACTTATTTTTATTAAATTATTAACTATTTTTCAATAAATAAAAAATAAAAATCGATTTTTTGTGAAAGTAAATAGATTTAAAGTTTATATTGCCAGACATAATTCTTTAATTATGAGAAACAAATATAATCTATAAAGACATTGGTGTATATTATATGAAGCTCTATATCAACTTTGCAGGGAAATAGCAAGTTTTTGAGAGAAACAGATTTGATACATTAGGCATGATTGGGAACTTTTGGTACCATCAGATAGGCATTATGGGTAAGTATGTTGTGCATAAAATATGATATTGTGACAACCAACTTAAATAATAAAAATAGTTAAATGAAAAACATTATTAATATTGATCTAAAATATAAAAATATTTAATAAAATGTAACCTTGTATTTACTCCATTGAATATCCAACTGATCAACAGCAGGATTAGGTTTCACATTAAGTGTTGAATCAATAGATGGATCAGACCAATCAAACATTAATCCTTCAGAGTTATAATTGTTTTTCTTAAAATCATGGAAAAATTCACATCCAGGGTATGGTGTAGGTATAATACGGAACACGGCATATTTTTGAGTATCATCTACTTTTTCGGAAGATGTTACACTTAACATATGAATTTWAAAAAAATGATGATTAAACATTTTATATTAATTATATATAATAATAATGATAAATATATTTGGGGGGATTTAATACCAACCACTTTTAAGGAATTTGATATATGTAAAGTAAGTATATGAATGTAGCGTAAAAAAGAGAGTAGAACTCCCACTCATTCATGTGCATGCACATGTCAATAAATGTGTTAAAAGAATACTAAATATTTTATTAGAAAACAAAGCTGGGATCAAATTCCCTTTAAATAACATACCAAAAATATTGTTAAATGAACACTTACGCAAATAAATATTTCTGCTTTTCATTTTCAACCATTAAATCAATTATAGTTCCTACTTTCCAAGCATTAAGTAATTCTACATCACATTTTCTTTTTTTGTCCAATTGCCGAAATTCCTCAAAAGATAGACCTTTCGCTGTTGCAGTTCCCAGACCTATTTCAGTCATTCTTGCTATTGTTGAAGACCTTACAAATTACATTAAATCAATAAACTAATATACTAATAACAACATTAAGAGTTTAAAAAAAAAAACTATTTAACCTGCAAATATATTTTCCTTGGTATAATATAACCGGCACAACAAATCGGTTGCGACATCGTGCAAATTTGGCTTCATTAATCAATGTATCAATTAATACAACATCAGTACCAACTACTTCACTAGTTTTTTGGGGGCTATTAAGTCTTGGTGATTGAGATCGCACAAATGGTTCAGGAGATGAATGATTACTAGGTGAAGGAGCACCTAAACTGTTTCTTTTTCGAGTGGAATTTCCTTTTGGTGAAACGTCATCAACAGAACTAGATGAAGTTCTTGGACCTCTTGGAAACCTTTCATGTTGTAAAATTGGTATTTTATGTGGATATTGCTCATTAATACGACCTTTACTGTTATCAATAATCTAAAAAACAGTTCAGACGAATAAACAAATATAATACATTATTAAAACAAGTGTCATATTTATTTTGTTTTRGTTAGTAATGATATATTTATTTAAGTTAAACAATAAATAGGATGTTAATAAATKTATCAAATTGTGTTCAATAWTTTTATTCAAATCTATAATTTTATATGAAATCAATAAAGATGGGCAAGTTTATGATTTTTGCTAACTCAGTTAAATTAATATGTATCTATAAGAATAAGTTAGTTAATATACAATTTTTTCTAACTTCATGTTTTATAAACGACTTTAGCCTATTTTTATCAAATCCATATATGTAGGTATTTAAAGAGTATTTCTAATTTTACTGGGGTTTATAKTCACAGAAATAAATAACAACTGTTATCGATTTTATAGCAGTTTTATACCTATATAATATTATAATGTATCATACAATTTTGACCATCTTTTAATTTCAGATGGCAGTTTTAAATATTTTGTTTCTTTGAAAATGAACACAACATAAGTATATGAGGTAGATGCAAAAATAATTTTATCATTAGCAATCAGTAAGTAAGTATAGTAATTCATTATTTATAAACTGTTATACTATTATATATACAAAGAAATCTTTTTCAACGGACAGACAATTATCTTAAATTTTAATTATGACTAAATAAAAATGAAAATAAATATAAAATACAATATTTAGTATCACATCCAGGAGTAAWCAACGGTGGGGGARAAGATTCAAACTAATTATGGATGCTTTTATAGTATTTATTATTAAACAATAAGACACAATAAAATCAATGGGAAGAGRGGGATACAGTATACAAAATACTATCACTGTTAATATTATGATTAAATGTATTACTAGCTAAATAACTTGGCTTYGCTTGTATCTTAAATAATATTATTTAAATATTTTTATTTTATAGGATATCAAATATCAAGTAAAATCTTTTTGTATTATTAATTCTATCTTTTGACTAACAACAGAAAAATTAATAATACTATGTAGATTGTAGGTATATGTTTATCGCACTTTTTAGTAGAGAAAAAATTATATTTTTTTAAATTAAWATGTGGTTATCAGGCAACCAGACCATTCATTTTCAACAAATCGAGTTTGTGAACCTAGTATATAATGTTCTGCAAATTAAAAACAGATCATCGATTGATATAYACATTGGTTTTTCGTTATTATTACACTGTTTGAAGCCTAGCTAGCTATGTAATAATATGTGATACAGTTTTCATAATTTAAATTAATTAGTAATCTTTACAAATGATTCTAATTATCTCTCTCCTCTCCCTATCAGACAAAAAAATGAAAAATCGTATGACATTACGATACTCRGGAAAGTATTTGGAACTACACTGTGAAAAAATTCAATAGTATCATCAGAAGATTGGAACATAAAAAAGGAATGTTCTTTTATAAATATAAGGATAATCAGAGTTTAGGTCTAAAAGTATTTGCATATCCATCATAAGTAACACATGGCTAAGTGATATAGAAATAAATTTCAAAGCAGAAAATTTAAATACAAAATTTTATTTTGCATATTTGTACTTATTTAAGAATTTTCAGCAACAATCACCATAATTTACAAATTGTGATCAAGAATTCATAGATAATAATTGATAATGTTATGTAGGTTATAAAAATATTGCACAATTACAAGATCAGTGATCAATAAATGAAAACAAATAGTTACAAGAATTGTTATTTTAAAGATGTCACACATACATATCTCGCAACAGATACATTCTTTATTTTTTGGATCTATATATTCTTTTTTTTTATATTCATGACTTCATGTGCTATAAATTATAATATTTTACCAGTTTGATCTTAATTTAAATTATTATTATTATTATTACGGGTACATTAAATGTACTAATGTTTTGTTTTTTTGTTTTTTGGGGGGGGGGATAAGTGCTTTTAAATTTTTTTAAGGCTTTAAGTTATAAACCATATTTATAATAAGTAGTTATAAACCTTACACTTAGGTATCCCTATAACCATTTTTAGCTGCAGTTAAACAACTATTGATGAAACTAACAGGTGTATGAGCACAATTTTATGAAAATATAATATAATAGTAATCTAATAAACATGTACTATGTAATGCAGTTACATCAAACTAGCACATATACATAGTTTCTTCTTCAAAGTAATTATGCAAACAATAAAACTTTATATTATCTTGAATTTAAAATACTATTCGACCAATAAAATCGATTAAGTCCAAGTGACCAAAAATAAACAAAACTCAAAATCATCAAAGTACCAAATTATAACTAAAACAACATAGGTATTCTCAAAACCAAAGACGACGCCACAAAGTAGTGTCACCTTGAGAGCAATTACCAATGTCTGTATGACGTTTCCACTAAGTACAAAGTACATACAATTATGCCATATAATATATGCCTATACATGCTGTAGTAACTACAGTTTTAGTGCATTATTTTACAATTTTAGAACACCAATAGGTAACATATTAATATGTAACAATATTAAAAATATTGAAAATATTGTTTAATAGAGTATTTTACATCTTACCATAAATTTGTAGTCCAGACGCAACAGATTTAGACATTTTTCCATAACATCAAAACCCTAGAAACCAATTAAATAGATATTTAAAACTAATAAAATAATAATTTTAAAAATTAATTAAAAGGATATAAATCAAGATGCATAAATCTTTATCACAGTTCATATTATTGAAATAGATAAGAAATTTTCTTGAAATTATTAGATTTAGGTATATAACTTTTACTGATATACCGGCTCTCTTCGCGTATTGAATGTGTCAATAAAGGTTGCATGAGTTATTCTGATACGATACAAAACATATACGTGACACGTCATTTGATCCGAATAAATAATATCCGGTAGATAATAACCCCCCGACAAAATAAGCGGCATCAAAAATATCCCTGGACAATGATAACCGGTGATAATCAGTTTTTTTGGTTTTCGTGTTGTATAGAGCACATAAAAACTTGTAAGGTTTTATAAAACGTTTATTGACTCAAGTTTTACTTTTAATAAAATTAAATA